ATTCTACACATAAAGCGCGACATTTGGGAGCACATGTCACGCAGAGCTAGGTCTAGATAGAAGGGTGGGTGACCAACCTCTTGGATGCGCTCTCTAGCTAGAAAGTCGCCGACGACATGGGGCCTGTGTGAAGGTTTGTTGTCATGGTGCAGAAGGGTCTCTCGTGCTCGAGTTAGCGGACGATGCCTGGCAACAGCTTCCAGCACTTTCGACAGATAGTGGTTGTGGCAACAAACTCCAGTGATTGTGCTTTGCAGTACGAGCGGTATAGTAACTACATGACCGGTTTTGGCCATGAGCACAGTCATCGTCTACTTTTTCACACCGCGCTCGCGTCAGAGGCGGCGCCTAATCAACCGGTGTCTCCTGAGCCGATCGCTGCTTGTTCCCTGGGTCGAAATTGTACACCCAGGTCTCATCACCATTAATGATCGCCCAAACTGCATTAGAACGTTCACCATCAAACCTGGTAAGCATGGTGCGACACCGAATCACCCGAGCTGCTTTCTGTTCCTCGTTGAGCTGATGAGGTATCCAGCGTGCGAAAACCTTTCTGAGGCAGAGCTTCTCGTGATTCAGACCGATCCGCATGACTTTCACCAGCTGTGGCACTCGCACATCCACCTCGATCATCGCTTGCACAGCAGTATTGCTTTCCGTTGTAGTGGTTTCCACAGGTCGACCACAGCATGTCGCAACATCCAGGAACCGCCTGCCACGCTTGAATTCCGCAAACCAATCAAATACAGTGCTTCTTGAAGGCGCGTCACTACCAAGGGCAGCATGCAAACGATCAACACTCTGCTGCTGTTTTAAACCACATTTGTGGCCGCAGAAAATTAGTATCCTTCAATGACATCGACTGAGTTTCATCTTTATAGTTCGAATATAGCGACCCTCGCATGACTTGTGAGCTGTTCTTGGCTGTCGATATTTGGCTCTGCGAATTGTAACCAATGAAGATTATTCACACAATGCGAGATTACAGTTTACGTTTTGCTTGCCCGGTCATCTGCACCTCGTACTCGTTGTGTACTGCATATACCGGAAACGTTTTGCTCCGCCCTAGCATTTGATAACGAAGGGGACATTGTAGCTGTTTCAAGAACGTAATTTATGCACGCCATCGAATCAACTGTTGTGTTATATGCATAAAACAGTTGAAGAGATTACCCCTCTCAAGGAATGCACACAATAATATGAAATGAACGATTAGGCAAAAGCTCACCGTACTGAATGCCCCATTTCTCACTGATAAGCCCTTCGTACGTGAGCTGACTTAGCAAAGGAGTCAGTGGGTCCACAGAACGATCGAGTAATATCAGCATGTCTGTCTGGGGTTCCAACTCGGCAAACGGAGTGACACAGGACTTGGACATATCAGCTTCCTGTCGCATCCGTAACAACATTTTGGCAACTTCCTATATGAGATGAAAGGAGTGGCAGAACAGATGGGGCAATCGAATGCGAATAACAGACAAGTCCAGTAAGTCTCCTCTCAAAAGAAAACCAATGAGAACTTCTTCTCAGCAAAGGACTTTCTTTTCTTATTAGACATGCAAACATACAATTTTCAGGAAGGTGGAAGCGGCCAATCAAGGGACTGCCACAATGGGGAAAGTTAGGCGGTGCTGGTCAATGAACTTCACGGGATAGCTATTTTCTAGTAAGGTTGAAGTTATTACTTCAAAGTATCTGCTGAATGCTCGTATATAACTCACTAAAGCTTCAATATAGTACGATACCATACAACACAAAAGATGCGCCTTGCCTTCTGAAGGAGAAAGCCTACGAGGTTACATTCTGGCATATACTTTGTGCACTGTGCAAGCTACGTTACTCTTCGATGTAACTTTCTCTGGATAGAGCTATTCGGGCGTCAAGTTAGATGAACATCCAAAAAACGAGAGGACATCATTCTCTTCTGGTTCAGTTATGAACTTCATTGACGAATGTCGCATTGAATTCCGGCTCAACTTATTCAAGATCGCTGTTCCCGTCCGCCAAGCAAAAAAATATCATTCACAAAAAGGTGACATTGTTCTTAAAAAACCGATTAGCTGCGGATAAGGTAGTTACTTAAAAATTGGTCATGAAGATGTCGGCAAGAGCTGGTTCAAAAGGTAAAGCATAACGCCGTCATCAATTTAGCGGTAGAGCGTGTTGTTAAACAAAAGTGTACTTTTCGTGTGCATCAAATTACTAGTTCTTTGGAAGTTGTCACAAATGAGATCAACTATTTTCAACAAGGACACATTTATGAAGACAGAAACAGCACCCAGGGAAAACACTGGTAGTACGTTAATGTCCACAGTTTTGGTTAGTTTAGCGAACTGAAACGTGTCGCTAAGTGTAGGCTCGGCAAGTTTTTGAAGTGTGTTCCAAGGTCTGACTACTCGATAGGCAGCTGCAAGGTGAGGTGAGATTTTCCACCGAGATGCTGGGGAGCCGTGTGGCATACCAGATTCGTGTATTTTGGATATGCCATGTCCATGGGTTTAAGACCTTTAAACAGACGGGATGATGTGTATCCTTTAGATCTAAACCTCTTTAGTGCAGCAGTAAGTTGGTATTTATCTTAGCACTGTTTGAGCTCGTTTCGCAATGCGTCGTGGGTGATTATACAGGCTTCAGAATAAACTCCACGAAAACGTATGCTCGCATTCACTGTGTCTTTATTTTCCCACCCATCAGTTTACGCGGTCATTCTTGATGAGCTGACGTCGCGCCATAGACAACATTTGCCGAAATGGTTCTGTGAGCATGAATCAAAGGACAACGGGGCCGGAAAATCCATAATATTAACTGGAATCCTATTGATAAATCAAACATTATTTTCCTACATTATTTTTTGATCAGCTACCAACATTCATTGAGTCCTTTAGGATTAACGATTCAAACGAAATGACTAGGCTTTGATGAAGCTATTTATCAAACGCAAGCAGAATATGCACGGAACAAGTAGACCTGTTTGCATCTTGTTCATGTGTTGAGCAAATAAACCACCGATCTGTTGAGAAAGAACACCGATGAGGGGAGTATCAATCGACTTGGGACCGCTTATCGCGATCGTGTGTGGATCACCACTGTACACGCATGTGTAGCTGTGCCAAGAAACAGTGAGAGAGCTCCGCTTATTTGATGAAATGAAAAGGAGACTGCAAGTACAAAGAAAGTCGCTAGCCTAAGCATTCAGACATGGACTTATGGCATGCACGAAAGCGCAGGATTAATGGTAGTAAAAACTGAAACTTTTTTCAATCACAGAAGAGTAAGTTTTATTCCAACAGCGTGTAAATCGCTAGTACTAGTTTTATTACGGAGATTGACTCCGATTCGATACAATAGTCTCATTTCATTGAAAATAATATATAAAAAACATACAATCAATACACACGAAGGGTGAGGGTCGTCGAACCATAAATAAGAATGTATGGCGATGGGATTCGAATTTACGAACTACAAGACGGTGGCAGATACTCTGTGCCACTTAACCACCAAGATTGATTTTTTTCAAAGAGAAATATCACAGAAATGTAACTAAACATAGTGTTGCCGAACTTGAGACCTACCTTCGCTTTGTCACCCTTTGCTCGTAGAACCGGGAACAATCCGTATAACGATTGAAACCTCATCAAACCTTGTACTAATTGATACGCTTCTTGTTGCCTATGACAAAGAGTGTATTTCTACAGGTGTGATCAAAGTGCGCAAAACATACGGCATAACAGTCAGGGTCCTCCATTGACAAAACATCCGAATCGATTGGCAAAATGGTCAGGGGAAATTCTTTGATCGACGTGAACTTTTTCAAAACGCCCTTCTCGTTTAAAAAGTTTTTGCAAGCATAGGATAGCGAAGGCACTGCTACTATATAATACTCTTTTCCCGATCCGAGGCGGTTCTTGCTATCTCTGAACCATTGGTTGTGATTCCCCAACATAGAAAATCTTACCTGCAAACGAACGCCTGAGTGGAATCAATTACCGCGACATTGGGAGTGAGTATGAAAACCACCGATTTACAATCAGGTGGAGTTAATGCATCCGCGGTGTTCTCCAGAAGAAATGAATTAGACACTCCATGTTCCTAGCGAATATGTACAGGAATAAATATCAGACCTTCAGTGTGGTGTGGCTGACAATGGAACCAATTCGCGCTAACAAGCATTTCTCCCAGTACAAAGCCTAAGCGATCATTTTGTAAGGAAGGTAATTCACCTTCGGAGAGGGAAACGAGTCAATATACTGTAAAAACTCGTTTTGATAACTCTCCTTGAGATCCGTCAAGTCTACTAATCGTGACATCTAGAGCTGAAATAAAAATAAGGCAAAAAATAAATTATGTAAAAACTATCAATATCTATCTTGTTAAAGACACAAACCAATGCTGTTGATTGAGGCAAGTTCTGAAAGTTAGTATTCAATAAAATACTTTGATAGCGAACAATAAAACCCGAATTATATGAATTAGTCGGCACTTCTTCCATTTACACATCAAAAGTACTCTCAGTAAAAAAAAGAAATTGGCTGCACTGGAGGTGATCTCACGGAGTAAACTACGTCAGCACAAGGAAAATTTGTGGCTGGTTTAGTTCATGCCGCAGTTCTAACAGCGTTTATGAGTGAGACCTATTGGAGGAGCATGCACAATTGTTATTGGGCCACTGTCCAGTGTGCACCTTGTCATTATTCGGTCCTTGATACTATTTTGACGGTTGCCCCATATATTGATAGACACTGTAGAGAATTTTCAACTACCTCTCCGTACACTCGTTGCCTACACACGTCCCAGGTTTAACCAGTGAAGGTTTTTCTGGGACAACCAAAGCGATAAACAATTTTAAGTAGAAACGAACCAGAAAAAATATTTTGGACTCATATTTCTTATTAATGTATTCATGAAAAGCAAAAAATACAAAAATAAGTAAAATAAGGCAAATACAGGATTTCACATGTGTGATGAACAGCAGATAAGGTGAACCCCACAGTAACGAAGAACTACTGTTCGGTGATGGAAACCGGTAACTCAAGTCCCGAGACTTGGAGTGGCGAACCACATAAGATCCGGCTAGGTTAGGCGTGGTATTGAACCGGACGAAAATAGTCAAGTCAAGTCAATTAAAGCTTAATGCACCCGATAGGATGAATTTTCAGCATTTTCGACATGTTACAGTAGGGAAAAAACGTGATAAGGATATTAACCATCAAAGTTGGGTGTAGATAGCGGCGACGGGACCCTAACCTCGGACAGTAGGGTCCAAAGCACGCCGGTGACAGTGACTAAATCGCTGCGCCACCACTGACCCAAAACAATGCTAAACTATTTAATTTGTTTTCATCCAATAAAACCATTGTTTCCTTAACTAGTATTCTTTCAAGGTTAAAAATCGATGGACATGCCGAAACCACTGAGTTACAATATTAAACCGAAAGAATACGTACAGAATTTCAGTTTCAGTTTGTATAACCATTAAACATGCACTTTGGCTCGCCGGTTTTGGTTACTGTCTTTTTGCTTCCCATTTGGATTAACAGTAGGAGAAAGATAGGAAGGTTGATGGTAGAGTCAAAGAGAAAATTGAAGACTGCGGTAAACTATGGCCGCAAAGAAATTGAGAAGATGCACACACGACACTGTTTAAGACACCCAGCCATATCACTCACTGTCTCTAAACATCGATTACGATCATCCCGAGGTGCCCATTCATGGAGCCTAACAGGACCTATGTGAATGGGTCTCCTTGTTAGGGATTTAATATTCTCGTGCCAAGTCTTAGCTTGATCACCCTTGGCTTTTTCCACCGATTACCTGCCCCGGCAAACATCGCTCGCCGTGGCAACCTATTTGGTGACACACGCTTCAAAGAACGTCATCTATAGAGGTCGACTACTTGCTCCAGTGGACAATCGCAGTTGTCTAAAACTTTATGCCTGCTCTCAGTATTGCTCCGGCTGCCCCACAACATTCTTGCGTAGACAGCGGTGTTCAAACAACGACAGTCTATCGTTATCCTGTTTTTTAATGCCCAAGCTTCTGCGCCGTATAACAGAACTGACCGAACTGCCGCGGCGGTGCCACAGATGTCTCAAGTAGACAAATGTCAATCGACCCTTCAGTGTACGAACTGACACTTCATTCGTGATGCATCCATCGGGTGAGATACAGATGCTCGAATAAAAAAACTTATCCAACTGCTCTATTACTTCTCAAGCTACACTGAGGTTAGGTGCTCGACGAAGACAGTCTTGCAGTAACATTTAAAATTTGAAGGTTCGTAAAGAAAAAACCCTGCGTCGGTGTGGGCTACCGCGAAGTATGTCGTGCCCTAAAGTCTTAGGCACCCATTTGGAAAAGCCTCCTTCCCGTCTGTCTAGCTTTTCCTCTCAATCCCTAATAATCCCAAACGCCTGCAGTTTACAAGATCCATCGGATATCACTCAGCGTTTTACCAACAAGTCCAAAAAATCAGAATTTACAAGATTTTTGAAGCCGAAATTCCCTTTCCAATTAGCCGCATTCGATGTCTGCACACTCTACAAGATTGGTCAACAAGCTGCCTTAGCTAGAACCCTTGAAAGCTTCTAATTAGATGTTCTGTATCTTCGAAACACGCATACAAGACCCCACTTCCATGATCTCCCTGAGTTATCGTGAACCAACCTCAACCTCACGCTTCACCTTTCGTGTGTCACGTGATTCGGCATCCGAAGCTCGCGGTGTTGCTGGTGTCGAGATTGCGCTAAATGCCAAGGCTGAAGGCTCGCTTCTCGACTGGATTCCAGTCAGTAGTCGACGGTGCGCCTTACATCTCAACGGATCAGCGCGGGTCAACAGCTACAGAACAAAGCGTCGATGCTTATTCGTCGTGTCGGTGTATGCACCGACCGATTGCAGTACACCTGAAATCAAGGATGAATTCTACCAGGAAATTTCTCAATTGCACCAAAGCATTCGATCAACGGACATCATCATAATCGCCGGAGACTTCAATGCTCAAGCGGGATATCTGGACGAATCAGAAAAGCTTCTTGGTGGACCACACGCAATCCCAGTCAACCGAACGGACAACGGAGATCGCCTTCTTCAACTCTGTGCTGACCACGGACTGTTCCTGTCAGGCACGAACTTCTCGCACAAGAAACGACACCGCCTTCCATGGAAACCGCCAACCTCTTCACTGCGTTGGATCCAAATCGACCACATCGTCATCAGTTACCGCTGAAGGGGATCAATTCAAGACTGTCGCTCTTACTGGTCAACACCTGTGGACACAGACCACGCCTTGTTACGAGCCAAGTTCTCCTTACGCCTGGCAAACAACCGTAAAAAATCCACCGAAAACGGATAACTACGATACAACGTCAGCGATTGTTGCAACTCAGTCTTCGAAGCGAAACTCTCTGATGGCCTGTAGTTCAACCACCAGCCGGAGGTCACAACACTGAAAGCAAATCAGGGAAGCTATGTAAATGTCAATAAAAACAACGTCAGACCCTCACGCAGGCTCAAAACGTACAAGACGGGTCTCATCGACCTCGGCTGCCCTGTTGGACGCCCGCAGAACCCTTCCTCCCGATGCTGCATATGACACAGAAAGCAAATCTCTTAAACGCCAGCTCATCAAGAGTCTGAGGAATGACGGCGAGAAGTGGTGGGTAGAAAAGTGTAAAGAGATGAAGAAAGCTGCGTCTGTTGGTAATAGTCGTAACCTTTCCCGTCTAATTAGGAATACGGGTTCTAGGAAAATAGGCGTAAGCGAGGTAATTAAGGAATCCGATGGCACACTAATTCACGATCAGCAACGCCGTCTTGACCGTTGGGCTGAACATTTCGAGGCTCAGTTCAACTGGCCCCCATCGACAGCTTATCTTTCAATCTCCGCCTCGACTGGACAAATACTTCCATTTGATGCTAGTCCTCCATATGAAATGGAGGTATCTCGGGAAATAAGTTATCTAAAAAGGCATAAGGCCTCTGGCCCAGATGGGCTGTTTCCATCTGCGTTTAAGGATGGAGGCTCAGCGTTAGTCTTGGAGTTGACAAAACTCTTGGGCTCAATATGGCAAAAAGAGGAGGTTCCAGCTGAATGGTGTGAGTCGGTGATCATACCGATTTACAAGAAAGGTGATAGATCCTCTTGTGAAAATCATAGAGGAATTAGTTTAATCAA